GATATTATTCTTAATTAGATCCAAAGTGATAAAAAAGTATTTTATATTTTCTTTCTTCCCCCTACCTCTTCTCATTTTGACAGTTAACAGTAGTACACCATTATATAAAACAGATACATTAGACTGGCAGTCCTATCTATTAACTTCAGCGGAATTTCCTTAGTTATATATCCTACTGCACATTATAGACTATACAGTTTCAATGTGGCTGCGTGTTCTATAGCAGAGAATATCTATGCAGAATAGAGAATTACTTAGATAAATATAGCTTTGATAAATGCTGGGGCAGAATTGTCAATACTATAGGCCTATGTACCATCCTAGGTAGTGGCCACCACTGAACAACTACTCCATTCCTTTCATTATTTCGGTAGGGGCTGTACCCATACTTGCTAGTATTGCTCAGTAGAAAAGTACTACAAATATTATGCCTGCAAACTGAATATTAGGAGACCTGATATACATACATAATGAAACACAAACCCTATATGCCCTAAGCCTGGGATTATTTGAACACTCTTAGAACTTAAAAAAAAAAAAAAAAAAGTGCTTATTTAAATGTTGGGGATATTGGTGGTCCTCCTGATGGCAGGGAGAGGAAAATAAAAGAAGGAATATAAGCAAAGAACTCTCCTTTCCTCTAAATTTTTTTATGCATCTGCCATTGACTTTGACAGATATTCCCAGGCCAATCCACTGTAACACAGGGAAAGGATTTGTTTTCACTTTGACCTTTCACATTGCCTTTCACACAATTGTTTATTTTGTTTAAGCACATTTAAAACTAGAAACGAAAGGTGAGAAACACTTCTTTCGGCATGAAAGAAATTCACAGTAATAACAGCTTTAAAAACAAGTAACACACACACACACCCTGGCCTCAGTACGTGTTCATTTCAAATGCCTTGGGATCCAGAAGTCCTTGTAAACCTGCTTCTTGATAACAACTGTTTGAGCACCTGCCCAGTGTTTAACTTTGAGCTCATGTGAGTCGGCTACAATAGGATAGTTGTGAACATGTTTATGGATTCACTGGTGAGCAACCAAGCAGTGAAAACATGCATAATTACCCTTTTGTAAATTATTGCTTTTTTTTTTTTTGTCATGCATCCAATTATTGCAGTAGTTGTTAGATGTAGTTTGCACAGACATAGACAAAAACTCAACAAAACCAATCCTGTCTGAATGAGAACAGACTACTTTCCCCTTCTTCTCTGTGAAGAGGTTGAGAAATGCAAATCTTTCTTACACTTGCCAAAAAACTACCTCATCCACCACCATGCAACAACTTATAAAAAGAAGCTATAGCCAACATTTTTGGAGTGTCTCTTGTACATTACATGCAAACTACTTTTCTCCTTTTCCACATTTGGCTAAAGCCACTCAAGTCTTTTCACATCCATGCTTCCTGAGTCATTAGGTGGCCTTTTTTTTGAAAAATCAAAAATAGGGGAAGAATTATCTTTAGTATGTCTAAACCTGGCTTCATGTACAGCCCCAGCTGCTATGACAGCCTGCGTGGCTTAATAAGGCTACACAGGATCCTCATTATGCTGAAGCTCACAGCATTCACCTTCTGTAGGCCTTCCCATCAAAGATGAATTGGAAAGAGCCATTAGCTTACATTTCTTTGAGGACCTGGATTTGTCATGTCCTGCTCATCCTCTGCTTTCTCTGTCCCTGTGCTCCTGGCTTTTGGGCTTGCAGGATCCCTTTGTGTTACAGGTGGAAAAACAACATTGTCCATGAACCTGTAGCACTAAATCGCTGATCATGTCTCAGATCAAGGGGTTTGAACTTTCCATCACATGTACTTCCTACTGTTTGGCCAGTGATGCCGATTTAAAGGAAGAGCTGCTAGAGGTGACAAAGATTTTGAAAAGTACAAGGAAATGTGGGGTTATTTTGTTGTTTGGGTTTTTTTCTCCTATTAATAAATACAATGTACTTATCATCTTACAAGCAAGAGTAAGACATTGAGGCATTAAAGATGATTGGATTTAGACCCTGAATAGCTACGTTTCTTTACACCTTAACTTTTGCTGTGCTTGGCCCTTGCCACCCAAACAACACTCCCTCAGAGGACATTGTTATCCTTTCATCTTAGTCCTCAGGGGCTTGAGGGGACAAATTAATAGCCATGAGACAGAGAGACAGCAGGCTTTCTGGCAACGTGGGAGCACACGTGAATGAGTGTGAGGAGGGGCTAGAAGGAGGGGCCATGCTTCATCAGTGGGAGAGATTTCTGCAGTCTACTGTCAGTGCACTGCTGATATGACTAACAGGAACGTCTGCTTTTTGGTCCAACCAGGAGAAAACAGGTGGTGAAATTCCTTCCCTTGCTAGCCTCTAAGTCACATACTGTCTTTTTCTTTGTGTCTTTCTTCACACCACCCTACCCCCCACCAAGAAAAATAATGGCCACCTTCTTGTGATGACCCTGTGTCAAATACATCTATGCCCCCATATAGATGTGCGTATATGTCCACACGCACAGACATATATATATACATACATATATATATATCTACGTCCACACACATGTGTATGTGTGGACATGCATATATGTCTGCACAAACACACTCTAGTCAAGACATGAGTTACCAAAACCAAATAATAATGGTTTGTGTATGCAATTAATTAAAAAGCTGACATTCCTTCCCTCTCTCATCTTGTTGTCATTTGAGAAATGATTAAAAATTATTAGTAATTATTAATAAAGATAAAAAGCATATTTCTACATCTGTCAGCTGTCACTTAGGCCACTTTCCCAGCCACTTGCCTTGATGTAACTTCATATGTCCAAATATTGGTGCCGGCCTTATTGTAGTCATTAATGGCTGAATGTCAAAGATATCAAACAGGTTTTCCGCTTGTTCCTCCAGCTAATTGCCAGAATTCAGTCCTGCATCTTTGATCATCAAAAAGAGGAGTAAGAAAAGATTATTGATTGCTTTTAGCTTTTCTATAAATGTGAAATGCAAAACCATAGGCCTGTTTAGCTGTCTTGCTTACTCTCTACAGGTGTTGTTCTACCTATCTATAGTTATGTATGGAACTATCTGTGCTGGGAGAGAACATGAGTGTATTGAGATCTTGTCCTTCATTTATGTACAGTTGGCAGCATGATATTTTTGGGTGTGACAAACTGGACAGACACTCACACAAACCTTAGATATGTAGGAATGTTGCATTTGAGTCATTAGCACGTTTTATCCAGTGGATGCTCACTTCCAAAGGAAGGACACTCAGAAATGGCACTGAATATGATGATAAACTATAAGATATAGTGGTCTGTGCCTCTACATTAAACAAACACTGGTCTTCTAAGAAAAAAAATAATGCAATATACTTGGTGAAGTTGAACATAAATTTCAAAAATACTCTTGTACTCAGGACCAGCTTTTTTTCACTGTGGTTGTAATACGAATGCAGTTCATAAATGAAAAAGGAGCACTGACTTCAATGGAAAGGCTTAACATGACCCCACACAGAAAACTGATGTAGATTATAATGTGTCACTAGCTGAAGCATCATAGATTGGAAGAACTCACCAGAATTATCTTCTGTTTTGGGGACTGTGAAATTGGTTAAACATGGTCTAAATAATAATGAAAAACTGTTTAAATTTTTTTGTTACTTGATAGGAGAGTGAAATATTTAAAACAATCCAATTTTACAGATAATGTATTAACAATTCTTGTTATTGTCTTTAAATAGCTATTCTACAAAGTGTAACAACAAAGTAGTCACAGTCCAAGAATTCACTCCAGAATAAAGCCTATTAGGTGTTAGTATGGTTATATTTGTACTGCAGCCAGTGGACAAACATTAAAGCTGAGATAGTTTATCTTAAATGTTGGATTATATAGTGGACATCATTGTTTTCACAATAAATTCATCATCTGCTTTTTATTTGTTTGATTCACCAATATTTCTCTAATGATAAAAGTACCACAGTATGTTTTATTGTGGTTACAATTCTGCAAAATTACAAAGCCTAAAGTTAACTTGCACAATGAAAATCTGCCTTTCCTGATGACTGGGTCCTATGTTTTTGTTTTAATCTTTATTAGCACAGCCTTTGTTTCTTTTTTCTTCACAAAATTGTGACAGATGTTGCTAATTTGATATAGAGAGAGTTACTAAATCAGTTAGAACATCAAATGCTTGGGTGGCTAGATACTGCAGCACAGATATGAAACATCACATTTTTGTCTGATGGCTCTAAAGCTTCTTGGCAACTTTGTGAAACTGCTGACACAAAAGGCACCCGTAAAAGGCCTTTTGTAAGTTACCATAATAAATACATTCATTACTTTTATTTTGATTTGGTTATTACTGTACTTTTATGTGTGGTGAAAGTAAATTCAAGAAAAAGAAAGAAGCAACTGCTTGGTGCAAGAATTAACTGAGAACAGCATGTTGCGAGATTATACAGCCGAGGCTAAGCCAGTTTTTAACCTGATCTGAATTCACCGAAAGGAGATTCAGTGTGCCTTTTACCAAGGTATGGTATATCACCAAAGTGTAAAGACCTGGAGCTAAACCTCTATACAAACCAGGAAGAATTTGAACCAAATAAACAAGACGACTGATGCAAGGCCATCAGCACTTTGGAAGTAAGGAACCAACAAAATGTGGTAGATGAGAAGGCTTATAATTTATGATTTCATTAATCATTTATGCACTCTGGTTTAAAGCACTGTAATGCATGGCAAAAGAATTGCCAAGATTTCCTTCCTGGAATTAGCAGCTGCTAGTGGCTAATGGGAAGCGGTGTGAAATTGCCAGATTTGCCATTTATAGCAAGTGCTGCCTATGAGCACCTTATCTACTACCCTTGGTTTAGGGAAGTGATGTTTACTGGGATAGGGTTGCAGAAAGTTACTGAGGATGCTGAGCTTCTCTGACTCTGTGTGTGTGTGTAGTGGGGTGGACTTTAGGGGCGGCACAGTGTGTGTGTGTGTGTGTGTGTGTGTAGTTGGAACTTAAAATAACTGGCAATTAAGATGACCTGTATATGGTAATAAACCAAAGAGTAATTCAGAAGAATGTTACATGTAGAAAAATATGACTTCCAACTTTGAAAATAAATAAGTTCAGTTTATTAAGAGCTGGTGTCAATGCTGAACAAAATACACATCCTCCAGTAACGAAACATTTTGGTGAACTGTTCCTTTTTTTTTCTTCTTCTTCTTTTTTTGATTTACTAAAATACAAGTTGGACTTTTTTCTTCTTTTTCTAAATATATCATTTGTCTCCCTTACTTACATGTCCTTATAACTGTGACCATCATTCTCCTTTAAGCCAGAGACTGAGAGTTTTTCTTAATTCTTAGGAGTCTGGCCACATACGCAGATTTTTTTAAGGGAAAATACTTGACAATGAAAAAAAAAAAAGAAAGAAAAATATATTTTTCTAATAAATAAAAATAATTTAAAACGTTAGAGGCTATACATGACTAGTTTTGATTATGTTAATTTATAAATGAAATAGTTTCCAAAATACGTGGAAGCAATATTAAAGGCAGACAAACGAAGATCTGTCTACTTTATTTTCCCATTAAGCTTGCCCGTCTTAACTTCTCCATCAGTGGTTCAGCATGTAAGAGTAATAAATGTCACATCACCATTCATGAAGTTTGTCAGGCTTTAAAAAAATAGTTCTGGCCTCGAAGGAGTCAACATTCATCTTCAACTTCTCTGATTGGTGGTATCAAGCTGCTTGTCGATTTATATTGATTGATCTGATTGGCCATGTGAGTGCTCATGGGCTTGATTTGAATGTTTCTGGGATAGGCATTATCCGGCTCATCTGTAAACCATTTCTTTTCTGCTAAGGAGCAAAATGGGTAGAGACAGAATAAGGAAGGAAAATGAGAGTTTTAATTAGTGAAGCATATATCCACATAAACACAAAAAAAAAAAAAAAAAAGGAGTGGGGAGCAGTCAGTAAAGTTTATAGAGAAAAGGCAATCAATAGAAGGTGACTTTGAGTAATTACTAGCAGTACAGTGCATTAGATTAATACCTCTGAAAATACTTTTCATGAAAGGAGGATGACATGTTTGCAGATTTGATAGTAGAAGCTAAAGAAAACTGTCAATATGCTACTTCGCTTGTTGAATGCAAGAGAACTCTTTTTTTTTTATGCTCAGGTGAACACTCTCTTATTCACTTATTCAAAAAATTATACAAATAAAAGGCTAAACTGAAAAGCTAGGGAGAGCAGATGGGATAAGGGTAATTCAGAAAAGAGCATGTCAGTCCACATACAGAGGAGTAACTAAAGAGTCAGAGGCTTCTCTGAACCATTCCATCCTCAGAGTGGTCGCTACCACTGGACCAGAAATCACGCAAGAGAATGTAGAGAGGAACTTGCGGCAGTTGGTGCTAGAATAAATAGGGCTTGCATTCATGCTGCCAGATGGTTGCGTTCCTGCTCAGGATGGCCATTATATTGCTACTTAGCAACCTGGCTGCTCGGGCGCTGCTGAATTCTCCCATTTGGGAAGGGGTATGGAACATACCTGATGCTACTGATGACTATTGTAGGGGCTCAAATTAATTCTGAATGGATTAGTAGTGATACATGACAGCAAGGCAAAGGAAGCAACGACTTAAAGATAGGTTAGAGGGGAAACTGTTCTTTTTATATCTTTGAGGAGTGTCTGTTTCCATGATCACAGAAAGAATTTTGTGGTACTGGTTTACACTGGGCTGTGATGGAGTCAGGATGCTGAGATGCTGCAGCATTGCAGCCATTCCCTAGCTGCTTATGGTAGCAGCCACCGTACTGCACTGTATAAGAAGTGGACAGAAACTTCACAAAATAAATAATTAAAAAATTAAAAAAGGGATTTTCTTAAGCCCTTTAGAGAGCAATTACTGCTATAATTTCTTAATTACAGGTGTGCAACTTTACACAATAGCTTTATTCAAAGACCTAGAAACTCCTGGTCTTAAGAGTGCCTTTTGGTGTTCAGGTGCTTGTGCTTTGACATGTATTTGTGACAGGGGTCTCCATTTTTGCCCTCCTTCCCCAGATTCCAGAGGAGAGTCTGCAGAGCAGTGGGCACAAATGGTTCTGGGGATAGGATTCTGTAACTGGTGCACATCAGAGCTGGTCTCTTAGATGTCTGCACTACCTTTGTTTCCCATGGGGAGCTCAAAATGCTTCAGAAGCTTTAGTGTCTTGCTTGCTTAATACAAACTGCCACTTTTGCTTACCACTGAAATGCTGCTGTATGTGGGCTGGAATAGGGCAGAGGCAGAAGCAGAAAGGGTGCTCATTTTAAGTAAATAAATAGAAATCAGCAAAGCAAAATCCACCTCAGAAACCCAAGTATCGAGCACAAAGCTCAGAAGGAGCAGCAGAGAATGGAAACTGGAAGACCAGGAAGAGTAAAGGACAAATGTCAGGAAATAAATGAATTAAAATAAGCAACTAGTTTCCAAGTTAGGTCTTCTAGAGAAGTGGATTGATTTCCAGAAGTACTGGACTTCTGAGTCAGTTTCGTGAGTATGAAATTTAAGCACTTACTTATACTTGACAAGGATTTTAAACATCTACATGGAATACTCCCACCTGCCAACAACAAACCCCAAACTCATGACAGTTTAATCCATCTTTTTTTTCTAAAGATCAATTTGTTACTTGTGCTTATGCTTTTTAAAAAAACAAAATTGAAAAAAAGGAATCATATTAATCATTAGTGGTTTATTACTGAAGGTAAACAAAAATACTTATTGTTTTTCTTGTAATTTTCTAAAATTTATTTTACTTCTCTTAAAATATCCTACTCATTTGCGATCATAGTAAATAGTTTCCTACCCCCTTAAAGTTGCTTGAGTCTGAACAATGTTCCATCTCCCAACTCTCTCTCTCTTACATATTATAATTAAGTTCTCTTTGATTTGAACAGATTGGACGATAGGAATTCATAATGTTACATCCTGCACACTGAAGCTAACTGATTAAGTGCTTTAAATTATTCTTCCTGACAGAATGATAAAGTTACAATCTGTTCAGAGATGATCTACAGCTTGCCAGACTCCTACCGCTTCTTTCTACATTCATTTATCTTTTTGTCAAGCAGTTAAAAAAAAAAAAAAAGAGCCTCAATTCCATGGATCTTTTAAAGTCATCAGAACATCTGAATTATTAATGAGATTTTAAGGGAATGGTTCCTGATGGGGGCTGGTTTAAGAAAGGTTGTAGG